AAATTTTTTTCTCAAATTGTAATGCGTTTGTGCAATTATATGTAAGTATTTCTACTACAACAATATTTACTAAATAAAGTTGATCAACATGATTAGTTCCTAAAATTTATTCTAGGACTCTCCAAACTATTATTTGTTAGCAATGGTCTTAGTCAATTTACCTCTTACTTTTTAGATTTCTAATAGAAAAAATAGAGGGGAAAAAGGGTTTTAATGAACAAAATTTTAACTTTGGGGGGGGGTACCGGGGATCGAACTCAGGTCCTTGTGCTTGCAAGGCAGGCAGCAGAACCACTGAGCTAAATCCCCGGCCCTTTAACTTAATATTTGAAATTAACCCTCCTTCTCAAGCACTTTTACAGAACAAATATGTCATTTTATATGCATTAAGTTGGTTACTTTTTTTCCATTTTAAGGAAATGCTTATTTGGGACTAAAGGTTTCATATCCATTTCTAAATCCCTTAGATATCCATATAAAAATCTCTCATTTCCACCTGATGCTCTTATAGTCAGATTCGTGAATGTACATGTTTTTGTAATATGTAAATGAGTTTAATTTTATTTTTACTTTTATTATTACATAACAATTATATTCACTGTAGGCTTGGAGAGAGGAAAATGAAAAGAGATAATTGGTTACTTTAAGAAAAAACTTTCATCATCCAATACTGTAGGTTATGACTGAAAGCAGGTATAACTCTTATATGGAAGAGCTATTTGGCATGAGCATCTAAACAGGTATTACGACAAAATTATAAGGGACACAGAGTCTGCAGCCAGCCCCTGAGCTACAACCTGAGCAAGTTACTCAATCTTACCGGAACACAGAACTGGCACTATGTAAATATCTATAAAATAAATTTTAACTAAAATGTCATGTAAATTGAAACAAAATAATAAATATAAGTACCTCTACATAGGTAAATATACTGATGAAAAAAATTTTTTTTTTGGTACTGGGGATCAAACTCAGGACCTTGAGCATGAGAGGCAGGCAGTGGCACCACTGAGCTAAATCCCCAGCCCCTCAATAATGTAATCCTTGGAAATTTATCTAAGAGATAAAATTAAAACATTACCAATTTGCATAAATATGTTGGCTACAGTATCACCTATAAAAGGCTAAAAAGAAATGACCTAAATGTTCAACAACAGAAAAATAGGTCTAACATATGACATATTATATAGTCATCAAAAACTGCAATATGGCAATTGTATAATAACATTTGAAAGGCCAGGGATTTAGGCTCAGTGGTTCTGCCGCCTTTTTCACAAGCGCAAGGTCCTTAGTTCTATCCACAGTACAAAAAAGAGGAGAAAAACATGTTGAACGTGTTCCAGTTAAGTTTGACAGGAAACTATAGGAAAAGCTCAGATGTTGGTTTATTACAAATATGATATACAAGTCACAAGATGCCTGGCAACACTCCAGGCATGTGTGTTTTTATGTGCAATTCAGGGACTGACTGGATTCTTCTCACAAGCACCTGAAACTGTCAACAGCCTAAGCCATAGACACTTAAGTCTTAAAGATTCAGGCCAGAGAACATATTTTTGCTACAGAATACAAGTATATGTTATCTCCTAAAAGCACCTTGTTTGAGTAAATGATATACCTAAGGTGCCCTAGACATTTTCTGTTTAGAAAAAACAAAAAAATGAAGAGGCTTTCTTATTTAAAAAATTTCAATACAGTATGTAGACATGTGGTTCATGCTAATAAAAATGTAAGTGCAAGGCCAAAAGATAAACCATCCATCTCCAAAGTGTGAGAGGAACATGCACACATGTGTTCCTTTAAAACAAACTTTACTGTTTGGTATTTATCAGGCACTACACTAAATGTGCTACGTGTAAGATGTCTTAATCCTACAACCTTAACAAGTTTTACTATCTCCATGCTAGGCGTTAGAACTGAAGCTTAGTCACAAAGTCAATAACTGAGAGAACTGGGGTGATAATAATATCAAACCAAAATCTAACAGTGAATATGACACAGAGTTTCTGAAATATCTACCTCTCCTGTAACTATTACAAAAACTGAACTCCTAATAAAATAGTCAAATTGAGGATTTTTTTTTTTCAGCATTGGGTAGTGAACCCAGGGCCTTTGCAATGATCTATATCCCCAGCTCATGCTTTGTTTTGTTTTGTTTTGTTTTGTTTTGTTTGTTAAGTCACTAAGCTGCCCAGGCTAGGCTCAAATGTGTAATTCTCTAGCCTCAGTGTCCCAGAGTGCTAGAATTACAGGTGTGTGTCACTGTGATCAGTTAACTGAGGGCTACTTCAAGGACCTATGGTTTCCAAAGTGCATTGCATGGATGCTTAGTCCCTATGAAGAATCCACAGGAAAAAGGTTCTCTAATGAAAAAAATGGGAGAACTTTATACACTATACAATGAGCCCAGAAAAGGGAGATCAATCGGATGACCTTATTTTCAAGCAATGTGTAAGACATTTTCAAATCACAGGAAATTTCCTGACACTTTTCAGAAATACCTTTAAAATTAAAGCAATGGGGCCAATCATTAATCTGAGGAAAACATAATAGAGTACAGAAAGCCTTAAAAGTCTATTAACACAGGAGCAAGGACATATTTACTGTAAATGTAAGTTTATCCTATGTTGTGAAACTTAAATCTTCATAGATCCTTTTCCCCTCTTAGGAATTCCAAAGCAAACTGACAATTTTTCTAAATTCACAGAAGCCCTCCAAGAAAAAAAAAAATCAACATTGCTTAACCTTGTGTTTCCCAAACTTATTGAACCTTAGAATTGCTTTTATCCCATGTAATATCTATTATCAATGAACAGAATAAATATTCTACAAAACATGTTTTGGAAACCAGCACAAAACTTCTTCCAATTACTGTACTCCTAGATTAGGAAAAGAGTCTATCCTGTTTAACACAGTTATCAACTATTAATTATGACATATAAAAAAACAAAAATAAAGAAGGAGCACAATATATAAAGAGTAAATATCAGATTCTGAAAAAAAAGAGGAGAGATTTTAAAACTAAAAAGCAAGCTGGGAGTGGTGGCACATGCCTAAAATCCCAGCATTTGGGAGGCTGAGGCAAAAGGACTGCCATAAGTTTGAGGCCAGCCTGGGCTATACAGTGAGTTCAATGTCAGCCTGAATTACATAGTGAGACCCTGTTTAAGGGAGGGAGGAAGGGAGGGAAGAAGGGAGGAAGGAAGGAAGGAAAGAAGGAAAGAAGGAAGGAAGGAAGGAAGGAAGGAAGGAAGGAAGGAAGGAAAGAAGGAAGGAAGGAAGCAAGCAAGCAAGCAAGCAAGCAAGCAAGCAAGCAAGGAAAAAATCAGACCCTACTTAAAGGAAGGAAGGAAGGAAGGAAGGAAGGAAAGAAGGAAGGAAGGAAGCAAGCAAGCAAGCAAGCAAGCAAGCAAGCAAGCAAGGAAAAAATCAGACCCTACTTTGGGGCTTATACATTTCCCAACATTCTCTATGAAGTTCAAAAATGGGCAAGCAAGCAATAAAATTCAACCTGAGTATAACATTTATTCTAAACAAACAGAAAGGGGCAAACATCTTCAGTATTTTATACTTAATTAGCCAACAAAATACCTAACTTACTAGCCAAATTATCAGAAAGCCCTAAGCCTTACTTAAATGACTTTCCACCACTGGTTAAAAAAAAATGAAAATAATGAGGTGGGTCCTGTGTCCTCAGTTATGATGACTAAAACAGACATAATGATTTCCTTGAAACTAATATGATAACAATGATCATTATCAATTAGACAAAATCTAAAACTAAACTATGATCTTTCTATAGCCAGACATAAAAGGCATTAATATTGTTTCAAATTGTCCTAAACTTTCTAAATTTTCTTCTTCCTTCTCATTCCCACAAGAGGCATATTTTTCTTAAAATTTTATCATTTAAATTAAATTACTCAACTATGCCCTTGAAATACTGGCTTATCACCACATGGTTAACTTGCGAGCCCCAAGGAAAAAGCACTTTCACTGTGGGAGCTCTACAATGTAGGAAAAATCTTCCCATCCCTGCTCCAAGGAAAGGGCAAAAGTTCACTACTTCAAAGTACTTCAGATGGAAACTCACTCTTCTCAACACAGCCACCAACCAAAAATGTTTCAGAACATTAATACTGAGCTTTAAAAAGTTGAATTGGCACTGGGGATTTAGCTCAGTGGCACCACACCTGCCTCGCAAGCGCAAGGCAGTGAGTTCAATCTCTAGTACCAAAAAAAAAAAAAAAAGTTGAATTGGCTGAATACAATAAAAGCTTAACTATTATTTATAAAAAGCAAACAAAAATCAAGCTAAACACAAGAGGCCAGTAGTGTAAGCAAGGCCACAAATACAGGATTCATAGATTTCAGAGAAATAACAGAAAACATGCAAGTGAGAAAATAAGTCTTTTAGTCATTAACACCTTAAGTGAGATAAGTATTAACTGAATTTTTACAACAATCTTACATCAAATTAAAATTACTGCAACACATCTTTGCTTAAAAACAAAATTTCAAAACTCCTACCACTAAATTTATTTAGCTATAACCAAATCTGTGAAAATTAGACTATCAAATTAATTTTAGAAAATAGAATATTCCAAGTTACCTGGGCAATGTTGTGACCAAAACTTGAATTCTTATTGATAACTCAGAAATGGGATATAGGAAATACATACATTGCTTCATTAAGGAAAAACAACATGATAGTTATTTTTAAATTAAAATTGCATCCAATTATCCCTGCTTTGTAAATGATGACTCTAATCAATGTTTAGGCATGACTGAACAGAATTCCAATTTTAATGTGTACTTATTGAAAGAAAAAAATTAAAACTCAATTTTTTTTTCTTCAGATAATGGCTACGTTACTCTTTTCATATACAAAAACAAAATCTATTGGGTAAATTGAAATGCTCTTGCTTGATCAGCAAAGCTTTATACGGAATCCCAAAGTAATCAAGTAGATGACAAGGACGATGACTGAGATGCAAGCTAACAGCCAGATGTTAACTAATATAATCATAATAGAAGGGCTGAAGATTTAATTGATGTTTTCCAGATAAATGAAGAGCAGTACAAAGAAGAAAACAAGCCTAGACATTTTTCTATGTGACAAAACTTGTGCAAGGTACTATTATTAAGTCAACGCTGTTATCTATATATGTTAAATGAAGACATGTAATTACGATGCTATCATACTTTAGATTTAATCCCTCAGAAAAGGTTCCCTTCAATTAAATTCTCTATAAAGAAGGCAATAACAGCAAAAAGTATCATAATTTAGTCTACTATCATTGCTTACAGTCAAATAAATGAAAAGTTAATTAGAAAGACTACAAGAATGGACACCCATAAAACATATTATTTTGATATTTTAACAGTCTTTCTAGAGGTTAAAAATAGTATTTCCAATTACTTTTCTTACTGAAAACCTATCTAATTAATAATACATTTAAGGACCGGGGATTTAACTCAGTGGTGCCGCCACCTGCATCACCAGCACAAGGTTCTGAATTCAATCCCCAGTACAAGGGGAAAAAAAAAAAAAGAACTAGTACAACCACTATGGATATCAGTATGGGGATTCCTCAAAAACTGAAAGTACAAACTCCATTTGACACAGCTATTCCCCTTTGAGGTATCTTATCAAAAGAAACATCATATTATAGTGACACGTGCATACCCATATTTATATCAGTACAATTCAGGTAATTTTTTTTTTTTGTACTGGGGATCGAACTTGGGGACCTTGAGCTGTGGTGGAAAAACTAAGCTAAATCTGTGCCCCCCCACCCCACCCCTCAGTTCAGGTAAATTTGAGTTATGCAGGAAAATGGATACACCTTGAGAACATAATCTTAAATGAAATAAATGAGACGAACAAGTATCCCATGCTTTCTCTTATGTGAGAAAATGAAACTATAAATAAACACGAAAACTAAAGATAACAGGAAGTACACAGTTATAGTACAGGAAGTAGGGAGATATATCTTTCTGAAAAAGGAAGGGGATCAAGAGAGGGGAGAGAGAAGAAGAAAAGAGGATGGATAAAAAAAGGAATGTGCTATGTACGAGTACCCAACTCCACACAAGGAATGCAATCATCAGGTTCTGCAAATTTCAATTTCTTTTTTTTTTTTTTTTTTAAAGCAAAGTTTCTAAGTGGAGCAAAAATCAGAGTTTGTTAGCTCATGCTTGTGACCAAGGACTTCGGTACATCAGAATGCTTTGTTTTACAGCAACATGCCTGTGTTTGAACATGCTTTTTTTCAGTTTATCTTGTTTGGGTTTTCTGAACTTCTTTAAATCTGTAAATTCATGTCTTTATCTAACATTTACCTAATAATCTACATATCTTTTCTGTGCTAAGCACTTTCTCCACTCCAGGACTTGAATGAATATCAGATCTGTTGATCAACCTGTCTCCCTAGGATCGTAATGGTTCTGTTTGTTTGTTTGTTTGTTCCCTATGATATTGGTTCTCTCTGCTCCGTGTGAATTTTCTATTGGTCCATCTTCAGGCTACCTGACTGCTGTCTCTTTCACTTCCATCTGCTTTGGAGTCCACACAGTGAATTTTAGAGTAGTTATTGCTAATATCTAGATATGCCCCACAAAGCACATGAGGTCACAGGTGGGGCTTTTTGGAGATGGATGGATCTAGGGTGTAAATGATGATATTAAGAGATGTGATGTTAGGACTAAGGGTGTCCCACCTTGCATGTGGATGGCACCAATCAACAGGCTTCCAGCCTGAATATAATATAAAAGGGAGACGCAAACTCTGTGCTGCTGCTTTGCTATTTTGCTGCCTTCTGTCTGTTCATTTGTGCTACAAGACTGAACAAGGTACATCATGGTGAATTTTTTCTATTTATCTATTTTTTTAAGTTAGTAATTTAGCGTTAACAGACATACTTAAGTTTCACAACACAAAAAATGTCATTTAGGAAAATATCTCCATATAGCAAAATAAAAAGTTGTTTTTTGTTTTTTAATACAGCAAATATACCTACTCCTTTTGGAAAGCCATGCACATGGGAGAACTGAATCCAAAGACCAGGCACATCTGGGCATCTGGGCTGTAACCATTCTGGAGAAGTAACTCTAGGCACTTTTCATGTCCTCCAAATATCGCTGAGTAAACAGGGCTTACTTTGTCTGGTCCAGTTTCACAGACCCGATTAGTAAGAGGTATTAGTAAATCCAAGATTCTACAAATACACAAATTCAGGAGCATTTAACATTTCCACATGTACATGAGTATAAGCAACATTTCAACTATACATACGTTAAGAATTACTCATAAATTGATTTAAAGAAATCTTTCTGCCCCCTCTTGGTAATTTGTTTTATTTAAGACAAAATAAAATTCCTAACAAAATAATGAGAAAAACAAGTTAATACACTGTATATCGTTATCTTCAAAGTAGTTAAGAGTAGAAGGTATCAACTAAAAAGATTCTTACAAAAAAGAAATAGCTAACACAAAACTTTATTTTCAACAAACTATCTTTACCCTCTATTAAATGATTGCATGCTACATTTATTCCAAAATGATACATTTATTGCTTAATATAAGATTCTTAAATATACCTTAGAGGGAAGCAATGTTTCTATAAGCCATATTTTCCTTTTTTAGTTTTCTCGCTATTTGCCTTCCCACCACCTATACTCTAAAAGTAAAATTTTATGTTAAACATTTTAGGACTTAATAAATTAAATATTTCTTATATAAGATAAAGTAGCATCAGGAAAAATGAAATATTTTCTTCCTTAAGTATCAATTATTTTTGTTTTCCAACTAATAAAAAATTTTAAAGATGGTGAATTGATATTAAGAACAATGTTCTGGGCTTGGGATTTAGCTCAGCGGTTCAGTGGCCTGCCTTGCAAGTGCAAGGACCCAAGTTCAATCCCCGGTACCAAAAAATACAAAACAAAAAAAGAATAATGTTTTCAGCCAGGTATGGAGGCACACACCTGTAATCTCAGCACAGAGGAAGCTGAGGCAGGAGGATCACTGCAAGTTTAAGGCCAGGCTGGGCTACATAGTGAGTTAAAAGCCAGCCTGAACACCGTAGCAAGACCTGTCTCAAAAAACCAAAAAAATAAAATAAAATAAAATGTTTTCATCAGGCAGAAATTAAAATGTTAGCCAGAATATTATATTCTCTGAAAAGAATATGAGCTCAGTAAAATATGAAATATATTTATAAAGAAGCTCTGCTTAGCAGAGAAAGTTCTAAAGAGAATCACTAAAATTTAAGTTCTTAGCCAGGGATTTAGCTCAGTGGTTCCACCTGCCTTGCAAGTGTAAGGACCTGAGTTCGATCCCTGGTACCAAAAAAAAAAAAAAAAAAATGTTAAGTTCTTACATTATTTGTAAATGTACCTCCAGCAGTCAGAAGGAAAAGAGATGGGACTAATACACTCTTCTAAAACTTAAAATAAAACTATGAAAGAAATTTTCCCCTTTCTGGGCAAAGACAGACAGGAATACTCCAAAGTATCTTTATACCATTAGATTTATCACTTTTCCTTATGTAAGTAGGCCATACAGTCAAGAACTTACATTCACATAAAGGACTACTGTGGAAAGACAATATGGAGGAAATCATAAGTGCCAAATAGATTTCTCAAAATTGAACACAACTGAGAACAAATTCCTAATACAGTTTTGGTATTAATTTAAAGTTCAGAATACAACTGCCACTTAAGATTTATGTTTTAATAAATGATGGAGAATTGGGAAAAATAAACTTTAAAATCTAGTAAAATTAAGAATCTATTTTCCATCTCTTAAATTTAATAAATATGTTTAATTTTTGTTTTTGGATTTTGTTGTTGTTGTTGTTGTTGTTGTTTCTGGAGACAGGGTTTCACTATGTAGTTGAGACTGACCTAGAACTCACTATTTAGGGTCTCGAACTCACAGTGATCCTCCTGCCTCAGCCTCCCGAGTGCTGGGATTTATAGGCATGCATCACCACACCCAGCTTTATGTTTAACCTTTCAATGTGAGTTGGAAAAATTTATACTCTCAAAAGACACAAACATGTTTACAGGACACAGTAAAATGCCATGCCACCTATTGGCATAATAACCAAATTATAGAATCTGTTTTAACACATTAAATAATGACAATTTTTATTTTTGAAATTAAATAATACTAACAATACCTATAAAAAGTGTGATTATAAAATTACAATTCTAAAGTCCCATTTGTTCTGTCTCCAGAAAACACCAATAATTTTATGGGAACTTTTGGCAAAGGAGGAGTAGCAGAAGCAGGGGAAAACACCAGCTTGGGTTTGGGGTTCCATAAAAAAAAGGTCCAGTAACAGGGTTGAAGATGGGAGGACTATTCAGCATAAACCAGAGAAAAAAATCCATTCCAACAAGGGTCATAAACAAAAACAATCTGGGGTCAGGAAGACAATGTAAGAGAACAGCCATCATACTGCTAGCTGAAGATGCCTGGGATAAAACTGTTGGGGGGGGCATAACCAGAGAAATCAGAGGGAAGATTCAATACATAAGGAAGCCCCTGCAGCCTTCTCATCTCCAGCCACTCTGCCTCAATGTAGGAAAGTATAGTAAAAGATTAAGAAGTGCTAAGGACTGACAGCACAGGCGACAGACAAGGAATACATCTAGATGCTCAGCAGACTGGTTAAGGGAAAAAGTACCAAAGATATCACTCGGAAGTAAAAGGTCCAGTTGGGATATAGTCACTATTGACTTTTAATTGTTTAATTGACTTTTTATTGTTTTAACACTTACTTTGTATGGCCCATTTGTGCAGCTGCATGAATAGGTAACTGCCAACTGTCCTCATTACAGTAAAGATTAGGATCTGCCCCACTGGACAGCAAAAGCTCCACACATTTTGTATGACCTTCTTGAGCAGCAATGAACAAGGGAGTAGCTCTGTCCAAGGCCTGACAATTGACATTTGCACCTAGCACAAAAGGAAATATTTAATAAACAGTACTCATTTATGCTTCTAAAGAAAAGATTAACTTTCAAGGCAAATGCCATAAAACAGTTTCATGGTAAAACAGCTCTTCCCCATCAGTGGATGTTGTTGAATAAACATATTTATTTTATTAAGTTAGAGACTATGGAACCTTCAGAAATTCCAAACATGCTACACAACTAGAATGTTCTTCACGTATATGAGGTGTGTGCCTTCAGAAACTTTTTTTTTTTAAATCAGTATTCCATTTTGAGTGACAACTTCAAAGTATTAGAAAGGTTAAAGACTAGAGGTGGAAAAGTTAGTAACAGACATTTCATTGGAAGGAAATGTAAGGAACTGGGATCACATACAGTCACATGATAAACACACTTACAGACTTTTTCTTTTTTTTTTTGGTACCAGGAATTGAACTCAGGGCACTGCACCACTGAGCTACTTACAGACTGGCACTTACAGACATTTTGCACTTGCTGTTCTAACAACTCAGAAAAGAGAGAAGAAAAAAGAACAGAAAACAGAATAGGTACTCAGACTTCCACGTGACAAGAGAAAGATTTAGCACAAGGAAAGAGCTATTAATATGCAACTTAGTTTATTTTATTAAAAATATTAGTTTGCTTGGCGTAGTAAGGCACACCTATAATCCCAACATCCAGGAGGCTGAGGCAGGAGAATCACTGTGAGTTCGAGGCCAGCCTGGGTTACATAGAGTTCAAGGGCAGCCTGGACTACACAATGAGATCTTGTCTCATAAATAAATAAATAAATAAATAAATAAATAAATAAATAAATAAATAAATAAATAAAATACTAACAACTAGATCGTATGGGACTGGAAGTAATAAACTGTCCTAATTCTTTTTTTTTTTTCCACTAAAACATGTTATTTTTTAACTTTTTCACCTGTATGATGAACACAGAAGGAACATCGAAAGTCAGAAGGTCTGAGTCTAAGCACTGATTCTGCTGAGAAATAGTTTCTACATAGTTGCCAAAGCACTTAAACACTCAGGGCTTAATCTCTAAAAAACATATATTTGACAAAATGATTGTAGAGATTCCTCTCAACTCTAACATTTAATACAATCATTATTTACACCAGACATCTTAACCAGGTACTTAATAAATACTTTTTTGCACTTCCTACTTTGACATAGTATATGAAGATTTGTAAAGGACAAGCACAAAAAAATATGTATTGTGATGTCTAAATAAGCTTTTTTTTTTTTTCTCTTTGGAGAGTTTTGCGTTTTGTTTTTTGTTGTTGTTTTTGTTTCTTTTTTGAGACAGGGTCTCTCTCTTTTTTTCTTTTTATTGAATTTATGGGTACATTCTAGGTATACAGTACAGTTACATTCATTACTAGGATCTTGCACATTTACATGACAGGTCTTGGTTCTCATTTTTTCCCCTTACCCCTGCCCTCCCTTCACCCCCTCCTTCCCTCCCCATTTATAAACACTTTATTTCCATTTTTTTCATTTTCTCATATTTTTTTCTTTTCCCTTATTACCTTTCCCCTACCCTTCCCACTTTCCCTACACCTTTAGCCCCTTTTCTTCCTATTTCACGTTGTTAATTATCCCATTAGGATCTTGTGTACTATTATAGTTTTTCACACCACAGAAACTATTCAGTATTTACACATACGACTTATTTATTTCACTAAGGAGTATATCCTCAAAATGTATCCATTTTCCTATGAATGACTCTAATTTCTCATTCTTTATGGCTGAGTAGTATTCCATTTTATCGAAAAACCACATCTTCTTTATCCAGTTTCCAACTGATGGGCAAATGGGCTGTTTCCAAGTTTTAGCTATTACAAACTATGCTGCTATAAACATAGGTATGCATATATCTCTGTGATATGATTCTTTTAATTCTTTTGGAAAGATACCCAGCAGAGCTATGGCTGAGTCAAATAGAACCTCCAGTCCAAGCTCTTTGAGGTATCTCCATATTGATTTCCATAGTGGTTGCACTAGTCTGCACTCCCACCAACAATGGAGAAAGGTTCCTTTCTCCCCACAACCCCACCAACATCTGTTCTTGTGTGATTTCTTGATAGCAGCCATTTTTTGTGGGGTGAGGTGGAATCTCAGTGTTGTTTTCATCTGCATCTCTCGAATGACCAGTGATGTGGAACATTTTTTCATATATTTACTTGCTGCTTTTATTTCTTTGTCTGAGAAATGTCAGTTCATTTCAGATGCCCATTTTTAATTGGGTCCTTATATGGGGGGGGGGCTGCTTGTTTTGAGTTCTTAAAAAAATGGGTCTGTCTTTTGTAGCAAAGGCTGGCCTTGAACTCACTATGTAGCCCAGGCTGGCCTTGAACTGTCAGCACCTTCCTGCTTCCTTTTTAAAGTTAGGTATTGAAAAGACTTGCCTGGCAGCAAATCTGGTAGTATTTCCCTCCCCTGCATTAATCCATATGCTTCATCAGGGTAGCACTGTGTCAGTTATGAGGGTGTACACTTTGTGAGAATTTTTAAAGCTCCTATATAATGCAAAAATGACGTCTTCTCTGACAATCTTGAATGAGTGATGGTTGTCACAAAAAAAACCTTTAGTTTATGTTGCTATCAATATAATAAAGTGTAAATATATTTTGAAATAAACTCATTTAAATAATCATACAATTATCAAAAGATAATTCAAAAGCTTACAATGCAAAATAACCTAAATTAGTACCGTCCCTTAGAAAGTTAGAACCACTCAGGTTCCTATAGCAAAAGACAGCTCTATCATTCAACTTGGCCAATAAACCTACCTCAGTTATACAGATTATGTTCCTACTCACATAAACTAGTGTAGCTGTACACTGCTTTGCTAGTAATAGACACTTTATAACAAAGCCTATCAATTAACAGGTATATACTCTTATTTATCATCTGTATAAAATCATAAATTTCAGTACAAGATCCTAATAATGAATGAATGTAACTGTACTGTATACCTAAAATATACCAATAAACTCAATAAAAGAAAAAAATCTGGAAAAAAAACCCATAAATTTCAAAATCTAATTTATATTTAAAAATATTCTTCCTAGGAAGACAAAAAGTCATGATCTTAACAGTACAAAAGGTAAGATTAATCTTACCTGATGAAATAAGTATGCTCAAGCTTTCTAGCTTGCCATATTGAGCAGCCAAAAATAAAGATGTGATTCCAAAGTCATCCTGGCATTCTTTATCTGCTCCTTTTTGAAGAAGTAATTTTATGATCTCAACGTTTTCCTAAAGCACAGATTCATATTTTAAATAAGGGAAAACAACAGAGTGCATCTTTTAGTCTTTTTTAATCCTCTCAGTATAAGAAAACAATTAACAAAACAGTGTAGTGTTGTACTGGTTGGAAAGGAAGTAATCAAACAATCTAACCCTCTAGCTAGCCCAGTAAATATAAATGGATTAAAAACTGATCTCTAGGAATTATAATCCCTAAAAAATCCTGCAAAATTAGTGTACTAACCTGAGCACTAAGGAGATACCACAGTTTCAAAACATTACTGCATAAGTTATTTACATATTTATCAACTTATATCCCACATACGCTAATGGCTTAACTAAGCTATCAATGTTTGAAAAACTTAGGTAATCCCTATAGCCCAAAGCTGCCACAGCTCCTACAGCAGTCAGCTTATTCAGAATGATCATTAGCATTTAGACTGCCTTTTCTGTACTGCACTAACCATCATAAATCACAGGCAAGTATGAAGAAAAACTGTATAGAACTGTCATTTTTAAAGGGTAAAACACATAATTTACATGGAAATGAAATAATAAATTCAGAGATTACCTGGAAAGAAGCCTGGTGCAAAGAGTTCCATCCACACATAGAATGGGATCCATTAACATTTGCTCCGTGTTGAAGCAAAAGCCTTAACACATCTATCTGTCCATTTTCAACAGCTGCAATACAGCAAGTCAGAAAAATTACTGTCAGCAAAAAAGTATGTTTGTAGGATTGGACATTTTGGTGATGTTCTCATCACTTATCTTGGAATTCAAAATGCTGCGATCATTCCTAAATATTTATCAAAAATGAGAACCAAGACCTGGCATGTAAAGGTACAAGATCCCAGTAATGATGAATGTAACTGTACTGTCTACCTAGAATGTACCAATAAGTTCAATTTAAAATTTTTTAAAAATTGTCTTAGCCTAAGCCCACTTATACATACCTAATCCTTTCTGTATACCATAAAAAATTATTTTATATAGAAAACAGAAGCAAGAGGCATTTATTCTCTCTGATAACAAAGACAACATGGTTCTAGTTTGCTAAAAATGAAACTAGAAGGCAATGAGGCAGACAGTTCAGAAGACACAGTTTTATGCTGAAGAAATAGTCTCAAAAAGCCTGAAAGGTTTGCTATCATTACCATACAATCACAAACAATGAAGGAGTCCCTAACAAAATGAAAGCCCAATTTCTGTACAGTGGATATTTTTTACCATCATAAACAATAATCATTGTTAAAATTATGTTCTTATAGCCATAAATGAAAATATAGTAAAAGGTGGACCCCCATATAAACTGAAGAGTGTTAGTAAAGAAATACAAATCACTTGACTGTAATAACTAAAAGAAGTGATTCCCAACTTGTTGCTATAGTAGATTCTGAGGGAAAACTGTGCATTCTTATAGATACCCAAAAAAGGTGTACACAAGTTATTCTTTCTTTTACATGTATAATTTGAGAAATGTTTAGTCTAATACCATGTATGTATAACAATTAATAAATCCTACTAATAAGAATGAACATAATGGAACATGCAATTCTCATGTGTGAAGACTGGCTTGGGGGGGTGACAGTGGAAGCAAAGATTATCTTTTGGTAGAATTCTATTGGTATTTTCATTGCAGTTCACATAGGATTTTACTTCTCATGTCATCTTTTAGATTTTGTAAGCAAGTAACACCTGATGTGAACATGCTGATATTTATTCTAAAAGTACAATACATTAAGAATATAATACTTTATTTTACTGATATTTTATGTTCCTGTTAACTACATATTGTATAATATAATAAGAACCTCCTGACAAAACAGCAAGACCAGCAAGATGTCCTACAAAAAGGCCATACCATTCCATTTTTATTAGCTGTCAATATCATACTGTGACTAATTTATAAATTAAGCTTTATCATAAGTATGTAACTGTAGAGAAAACATAGTATGCATAGGGTTCATTACCATTTGCAGTTTCAGGCATCCACTGGCCATCTTGGAATATATTCCCTACATATGAGGCAGACAACTGCAGTGCTGTGTAAATACTCATAAAACATTAGCAAATAAAATACATTGTAGGGCAGGGGATTTAGCTCAGTGGCACAGAGCCTGCTCGCAAGTGCAAGGTCCTCAGTTCCATCCTCAGTTCCATCCCCAGTATCAAAAAAAAAAAGGATACATTGTATCATAGGTGTGAGACTATTAAGTGATTTCTTTGAATTATAAATACCTATACTAGAGCTGAAATGTGTATAATACATGTGTAAATACCGAATAGCTTCTCTGGTGTGAGCAGTGGAGGGAATGAAGAGAGAGCAGGGGAATGGGGAAAAAATAAGAACCAAGATATATTATGTAAAGGTGCAAATTCTCAATGATGAATATCATTATATTGTATACCTAAAATGTACCAATAAAATTAATAATTAAAAAAGAAAGTTCTAGCTTCATGTGCCTGGGAACAGAAAATAGATCTAAAACGATTTTTTAAAATAAGATTTTTCTTATCTTTCCCACCCATATATATATAAAATATATATTATAAATGGCCTCAATATGTATCCATTGTATTTAAAAAAACAGACAAAAACTATATCTTCTTTTCTTCTTTATCCAGTCTCCAGTACTCCAGTAGATTTTTTTTTTTTTTTTTAAGAGACAGGGTCTCAATACATAGTCCCTGCCTGTCCCTGATCTTGCAATGTTGTGCAGGCTGGCCTTGAGCTTGGGTTCCTCCTGCCTTAGGCTTCCATGTACTAGGATTACAAGCATGCACTACTATGCCTGGGCTTAAGATTTTTCTTTTCATTTCATTTCAACCATACAGTTATTCTGTATCTTCTACTACAGCAGGTGGCTGGGAAGTGAGAATCAAAAATTCACAAATCACAAAATTAGAAAGGTACTAACTATGTGGACAATGGGTCACATTTGAAAAATGTTAATACAGCTAGGTATGCTGGTGCATGCCTATAACCCCAACATTTGGGAAGCTGAGGCAGGAAGATCAGCAGAGTTCAGGGCTAGTCTGAGCTATATACTGAGGTTGAGTCCAATCTGAACTATATAGTGAGACCCAGTCTCAAATAACAAGAGAAATGCTAAAAAAATCAAATCCGTAAAAGTGCAAAACAAAACAGTACATTCATTATTGCTGAAGACGCATTAACATGCCACTGATAATTCTGAGTTTTAGATACTACCTTTATACCAAAGTTTATTTCTTCCATAAGGACTCTAGAAAGTCTTTTAATCAAAACTTCTTGCCAGGCATGGTGGCTCATGCCTATATTCCCAACACTCAGGAGGCTAAGACAGGAGGATTACTGCAAGTCTGAGTCCAGCCTGGACTATATAGTGGGGCCCTGTCTCAAAAAAGAAGGAAAAAAAAAATCTCCTACATCCAAAAAAAACTTAAAATGCCCATACTAGAGATGCTTGCATACCCTGTCTACCGTGGTATAATTCACATAGCCAAGACATGGAATCATCCTGGTACCCATTAACACATGATAGGATAAAGAAAATGTGTTGCACATACACAATGGAGTACTGTTCAGTCATATGCAGGAAAATATATGAAAACTGGAGATCACATTAAGTGAAATAAGCCAAACTCGGGCAAATATCCCATGTTTTCCCTAACATGGAATGAGGTAGGGGGTGGAGACAAAAAGTAGAAGGGAGACTATTATTATACAAGACAACTGGGAAGCATAGAGAGGGCAGTTATAAAAGAACATAAATAGGGAGATGGATATCACATACAGGTATGAAAATGCCACAGAAAAAACTAATATTTTGTAAAATGAATTTGTATTCACATATACATATGGAAAAAATCCTCTTATATGAAAAAATTCTCTGGCAGTTTCAGAAATGTAACCAATGATTATGGTAATACCACAGTCCAACATTATATATTATATTTCTAAGTTAATATTCAAGCCTTTTTTGTCAAGGAAAGAACAGTTTTTCTAGTTATTTTTGTATCATCAATCTAAACTCAATCTAATATGGAGTATAGATCATGATACAAAAGGAAGAAAAATCTGTTTCATATCTTATCCATACATCATTAATCAGTGATTTCTGGCAAGAATTATTCTATAGCCAGACCTTGATCTGAAGATTGTAAGGTTGCCAGTGATGATATATAAAGCAGAATGAAGAAGGTAAATCTGTTTTCCATGAGTTAGGCTGACTTTATAAAAAGGAAAGTAAAAATTTTTGTTTTGAATATTAAATACTGTATAAAAGTCAGACAGAAAAATTTTCACTTTTAATGTAAGTACATTAAGACAGGATTTCTGCGTCTCTACTTGAAAGCTTTTCCCAACTGAAAAAAGGAGTAAAACCTACATGTGATCAGAAAGTAATATCTTTTCAGTGCTCTCAATTATTTCAAAATAAAGCAAATTTAATGGTTAATGAGTGAGAAAGAAATAGTGGTTTAGAAAGCATATTTACAACTTACACTTACTACCAAAGTCTCTGCTTTGAAAGAGATGCATTAACTTTGCCTTTATCAAAATAGGGAGGGATATGCATAACTGGGCCTAACAGTATGAGTACAAAAAAGGAACTTATTATTTTCTTTAATTTCTCAATCCTGAGAAGAGCAAGTGTAAGAGCATATTTTAAACATATCCAGCATCTAAAATAAGACTACATAAATATTTTACATGAAGAGAGTCAAAGATCTATAACACTGGGTATTGTTATATTCTATGGAGACAGTGAGGATACAGGTAAATTGAGGAATAACAGGGCTATCAAAGAAATGAAAGAGTGCTTCTGGCTTGGCAGCTCTTCAATAACCTCAAGTCTAAGCAGGGCAAGAGTGAGCTTAGGAAAGAGTATTTATTCCAAGCAGAGGAACCACAAGCTAAAGTCTAAGCAGAATGCAGTTCAGTACGCTGAAGAGGCACAGATTGGCATGTAGGTGATTACAATCTACAGGGTAAGGCCCCAGAGAAGAGAATTATACAGAGGAAAGGCCACAGTGTGGATAAGCCTCAAAAGTTCTTGATGGAGACTGGGTCGCACATGTGCAAAGCAAGACTAAGCTCCCCAGAGAACTGCTGAAGAATTAAGAATGGAACAGAGACCATCAGATAAGTAATACTGACAGGCAACAAAACTATCCTAGGAATTCTGACCCAGCCAGAGTGGTGAGATCATATTTTATCTTGTTAATGCTGAGTATCTAGCTAAAACAGCCAAAAGGCAGAGCTCTGGGACTGACTACATCTAAGAGTAGACCTACAATAAAGAATAAATCAAGCTCTGCCAAGTTGAAGACGATGAAGATGAAGACAAAGACGAAGATGCAGAGTTTGAGAGTTGAGTCCCACCAAGTTAGGTGGGCCTGGCAAACATCTTAAATTCTTCACAGATCTCTTCTAAAAAATCACAAAACATCCCTAAACAAGTCGATACCCAAATAAATGATCTATTTTTTTTAAAAATCAACATTCTTCAGAAGATAACAATTTAAGCTTGTATAATATACTATGTTCACAATGTTAGGGATAACAAGAATCAAAAAGCAGTCAATAGAAACTAAACCCAAGATGGCCCAGATGTTGGATTTAACAGATTCAGTAAAGCAGCTGCTGTGGTTTAAATGTATTACCTCGAAGCTCGTGTGTTGGAAATTTAATCCCCAAA